GAAAAATAAAGGTTAATGATGCAGTTGTGTGACAAATTAGAGAAATTAGAATTAGGGTACCCACCAAAATTACCTGACGAAACCAAATCATATCTCTCTTCCATAAATCATTTTTGAAGATCTTCACCCCCAAATTATTATTTAAATATTTAATTTAGTTTATATTACAAGATAATTAAATAAAGATTGAATACAAAATATTAATATATTTATAAAATTAATATCAGTTTAAACAATAGTCATATCACTTTAAAAGTAATTGACACCATAATCTATTTTTTTAATTTTGTCACTATCATAAAATATTAACGGTTACAAAATCCAAAAAAATAAAAATAAGTAAACAAATAAAATTGTAAAACATAAATATATATATTTAGGTGAAAAAATCTCAACGATAAAAATATAGAAATTTTTTACTATATATTTTTTTTAAAAAAAAGTAAAAATATGTAAATTCCAGAAACCCTGAATTCATATTTATAATTACAGAAACCCTGTCTGATAAACCCTAGAGGCTCTATATCATCTGCATAATACATGTGAATTTTGTGGCTGAGAATGAAAAGACAAATATTCCCTAAACGGCGCTGTTATTTACGTAAAACGACAAGCGGAGGGTCGGACAGCATCTTTCCCTAAAAAGCCGCAAAAACCGCTCCCCGCCTTTGTCTTCTTCCTTCTGCTTACGCTCTGTATTTTTTGCTCCTAATGGTATAATATTAAAATTAGTCCAAACATTTGATGTTGTGATCATTTTAATCCGTAACCTTTTCAAATAATTTTTAACCTTCAACGTTTTAATTTTTAGTTGAAATGATCCTTCTTAAAATGAAAATCATTTATTAGTTAACAGTCAATACTTGTCATTAGTATAACATATTTATTTTTTAAATATCATGTCTATAATTTTTTAATTATTAAAATAATATTATTTTATTGATGAAAAAGTGGAGAAGTTATAATTTATTAGTGGGAGGGCTCAATCCAAGGATTAATGGAGAGTGGTTCAACGTGTAGTCACTAGACGAAAATACAAATTATTATAATATTAAATAAAATAATATTTAGGTTAACTTGTAATTAAATTTAAGAAATAAATATATTTTAAAAATTAATTAATTAATCACATAAAATAAAAGGATAATAAATACTAATTTTATCAATTCAAAATTTTCTTTCAAATTCACTTTTTTATATATTATAAATTATCATTTGAATTTATATAAATAATTAAAATTATTTATTATCTCATCCAAGAGAAAGTAGTCATGCAAACCTGAAAACATTAGGCAAACAAACAAAACAATGTCAAACATGATTATCACTTCAATTAGCTGTCAATAATTTATTAGTGGTAGGGATTGTTTGCTTAGGACCCCAAATTTTGACTTTTATTGCTTATTTTTACATATAATTATCTATACTCGAAATTTATTAAATAGTTTCGGGAGTATTATTCTCTTTAATGTTTTTGAGTTCGAGTAATTATGTATGTAGGGTGTATGTACATTGTTAATTGTTAAAAACAATCTGAATAGATACTACCTTGTAATCACTATATACTATTAAAAAAATTATTGATATATGATTAATTAATTAATTTAAATTAAATATTATAGAGATTTATTATAACAACAATATTTTTAACTTAATTTTATTCTAACAATATTAGAATTCTAATCATTAAAAACCCAACATCTCATCCTATTAATCTAATCAATAGTTAATAATATCTTATTTTTTAATAGTTCGATTATTCTCTTTAGCTACATAATCTAAAATCATTAATTAGTTTATATATTTTTTATTAAATAATCTCAAACTTTAATCAATCTAAAGTCATCAGAGTTCCAATCAATTTATTTAGGAATTATTTTAGACTGTTTAATCTCGAAACTTCACACACGTGTCACCTTTTAATGTTTTCCATATAAAATTTATATTAAAATAAAAAAAATAATATATAGTTTTATATTCCATCAATAAAATCGAGTAACGATACGTTGCCAAAACTATATTATTTTTAACCATATAAATGTAGTGTATATTAATTTTTTTTATATCAACCCATTAAATAAAGATTTTGGATTTGAGCAACTAGTTCGTGGAATGTATGTGCATTATCAATGGTTAAGAAAAATTCTGAATAAATATTATCTTGTAATCATCTCATGTTATTGAAAAAAAAGTTTGATATCAATTATTAGGTTGTTTAACGAGATGATATATTAGATAAAAATGAGTATTTAATTTAAATTTTATGGATTGTGACTCAGCTCGATATGGTTGGTTTTTTTGTTGAAAAATTAAATTCGAGTTTAGGGTGGAAAAACCTTACATGACTTGAGATACTATTATAAACATCTCTTATATATTTAGGGATAAATGCTATAATACTCATCTCTTTATATATTTTTCAACTAAGTTTCTAGTTTACTTAATAAAACGATATCTATGTATATTTACGTGATCGAGTGTGAACTTTTACCCCTAAAATCGGGTCGAATTTTGAATAGGATGAAAACGTGTAATATTCAGGTCACGTTTCAGTGGATCAAAAACTCAGCTCAATATGACCCATGATCATCCTTATTGTTAGATCTATTAAACAAAATCAGAGATTTAAATTTTAATATTGTGAATAGAGAAAATTATGTTAGAAAATTACCTTATAATAAAGTTATATAATACTTAATTTAAATTAATCAATCAACGAATCAAATATTAATAATTATATATAAAAAAGTGTGTAAGCAACAAAAAGCAACAAAGCTAGGGAAGCGTGTGGGTGTATATCTAAAAACAGTAAAGCATCTCTAACAAGTAACAACTCAATCATTAACATTTTGAACTACACATTTCTTAATATATAAATTGAGAATATTTATAAGTTAAATTAAATTCAATGAACTAGTCAGATTCATTTCAGTTTTTGTTTGCCTTTGTTCTTTATTAATCCCACAAAATTGTATGACTTCCTGGCATTGAGCCACCGGCTTGCTGCCTGCTAAAAGAAAACATGGTGAAATTATGATTGTGGTCTCTTTATTTTGCTTAAGTTCCTCAAATTTTAATTTAACATTAGTTGATTCCTCTATTATTATAATATCATCATTTAATTTAAATAATAAGCCGTAAAATTAAAATATTGACATGAATTATTCTTTACAACACTCATCATGCTCACATGGAATATTTTTTTCGTGTTAAAAGGGATGATGTTAAGAAAAAGAAACAAACGTTAACAATTTAATTCATGTGACCATCGATATTTAATTTTGTACTAACTACAGATACCATAAAATTAGTGCTATATTCATAGTAAATATATATCAACAAGATTCACGGAAAAATCATTAGTTTCCGTCAACAATACCTTACGTCTAAGACTATAGTTTTAGAGACTAGACAATAATCTTTCATCCTCTCTTTCCCATCCCCAGTAAAGAGTTTTTTCGTTTTTAGTCTCAACGAGACATTCTTCTTCATCATCGAGATTTCTCCTTTGCACTCCATAAATTGTTATGACGTCCAAATCTAACGTTACCATAATTAAGACTTTTTGTCCAAATCAAAATGGATGAACATGTATCAATTCTATGTCACTTTAAATACCCTTGTGTGTTCCCTATAAATATTAGTCATCCACATGTGAAGATATTTCTATTATCTAATGGAGTTTTGGGATCCATTTAACACCATTTGTTTTTTCCTTTCTTTTGTTGAATTGTTGTTCTTTCCTTTTTCAAATATCATTTTCTCTATAAAAATCCTCATCTTCTTTTCTTCTTCTTCCCTTCTTCCTTCTTTTAATAATGAGTTTTGGGGAAAAAGATATCTATCATAAACATTTCTTCCTATGCTAGTTGTGTAGTTTTTGAGACTCTCCATGATTGAACGTTCAATGAATTGTTGCTTAAATAAACAAAAAGGGGTACTCAATGGGGCATAAAAAATCTATTTGGTTGAACCGTTATCAATGTTCACAACTATCACCTGTTTAGTTAAACACCAATATGTAGAAAGATCAAGGTATTATTAGCTAAAGTAAAAGGACTAAATCCAAAATTTGAATTTAGTAGAGGGACCCAAACCTAAATTTGAGCATTATCTAAATATAGAATAAAACAAAACAAAGGGCTATGTTTGCCTTGTTGTTCTTAATCCCACAAAATTGTCAGACTTTCTGGTAGGAATGGGCCAAGAGAAGAATAGGAGGGGGATGATTGAAAATATATTTTAATTTTCTAAAATTTTATAAATTTATCGCTTAATATAAAATTTTACGTCAATCCCTCTTTCGTACTGCAATTTTTGTAATCGAAAGAAGGAAACATCTTATCCCTTAGGGCTTTGATTTGCTTATTTGGTGCAATTTTCCAGCAAGACTGGGGCATATGCCAGCAAGTTTACTTCTCTAATACTCTATAATATGCTGAATATCGATTTATATAACATATAAAAATATAAAATAATGATTGTAATGTAACATCTTTACAGAGACAAAATCAAAATTAAATATTAAAAAGAGTAAATTATCTAAGTTTAAGATAAATAGGAAGTTATTAAACATTTGATATAAAAAATTGAAAGGATAAAAATATTAAACTAAAAATTTATGATCGCCATCTATTTGATGAATAATTGAAATTAAGAAATGTATGTATTTAGAAATCCTTTTGTAATATTGTCACTGATCATAACAAATTTCTTACTCTCTAACAATAATTCTTTCCATTAATGATTTTCACTGTTATTTTTCTATTTTTATTGATTTTAAATTAATTGTTTATGGTTATTCTCCGTTCCAATGTCTATTCTATTTGATCGATTAGTAAACAACTTAATATTTTTTAAGGTTTTAAGTTCGATAATAAATCAACTTTGAATTTAATCAAAATTCAATATAAATTTTATGTAATTGAAACTTTCAATATATTTATATATATATATATATATATATATATATATATATATATAATATCTTTAATATTATATAAGAAAACGAGTATTCATTAATCTCTCGTACTAAAAATTAATGACAATGACAAACACAAATTAGCCGGAATTCATCACCGCAATCTTACGTAATGTACAACTTTCGTACCATGCGAATGACCACAGGGGAACAATTTCTTTTCGGAATTTTGAAAAAGAAGAAGAAGAAATTCAACAGGCGTAAAAGTCGACAAGCTCTTCCAAAGACTCAAGCTGAGGATCACCGTTCTCGAGCATCCAAAGCAAGTGTTCGAACAAGACAACCTCGCACGACACGTTGATGACGGCGTCGTTTTGCTCTCCCGATCGTTCCGCTAGTTCTCGGAACAGCGGGCTCTCGATAATGTCGGAGCTAATAAGGTACCGTCTCCGTGATTTCCCGACGTAGACAGGCTGGAGGTTGGCCGACGATTCATCTTCTGCGTCGGAAGCCGCCACGAGGGAGCTCGATGACGTCAGCCGATTTTGCTTGTTGTTGAACGAATTTAGCTTCTTTAGAACTGACTTCAGCTTTGTAAGCTTGATGCTGCCTTTGGCCATTGCTACTACTTTTTTTTAAATGAGGTTTGAATGAAGAATTTGATGTAAGAAAAAGAGACGAAGGTTCATTTATAAAGGAGGTGGCAAAGGGCGAAACTGTAAATTCCGGTTACATGAGTTGGGCTAAGGTGTGGAAATTTCGGGTATTTTTAAAATGACGTCCTGTGCTTTTCGGAGTTCGGGTCGTGTTTTGGATCAAATATTATGATATAAATTCAAACGATGTTAGGTAAAGTACGTAAATAATTTACTGATTATATAATATTATTTTGTTAAATTACCTAATTATTATAAGTTATAAAATTATTATTTTATTATTTATATATTTTAAATTTTTTCATTTAAAAATTAGTGATCATTTGTAATATGATAAAAATATGATTTTATAACCATTTAAAATGTATTTTATGGATTGACTCTTTGTTCATATTATGTAATTGAACTAGTGATTAAAACATTATGTCATAGAGCTAGTTTTTGAAAGTAACAACATTGTCAGTAGATATCATTAAAATATAATTTTATCTTATCCTAGTTAGTAGGTTGACATCCAAATCACACGAAAATAAATTTTTTAACTGAAAAAAAGAGTTTGGAACATATGAATTGTCAGATGATCATTTTATAAATTATAATAGTTAAAGACTCAACCAAACAACATCCTAAACTCGATAGATCATTTTATAATTTTTAATAGTCGGAAACTCAACAAAACATCGTCTTATAATCGAGGGACATTTTGTATACTTTATCCAATAATATTTATATTTAAATATTTGATTTGTTTTTATATACAATAAATTCGAAATAGATACAAATATCTATAGTTGGTATCATCATATTCAATCTCATTTCATCTTAACTCAATTTTTCGAAAAAATGATATTATAAAATTGGATCTGAAGCCGTCCCCAATTGTAATATTTAATTTTGTGTGTAAACACATCTATATTTGAAGCGTGGACAACATTTTTCAAACTTAGAAGTTGGCAAACAAAACTTAATAAAAAGTTTTAATTATTTTAAGAAGTGTATTTTTAATAAATAAAAATGAAATTCAACTCTTTAAATAATAATAAAAATGCATACATCACAAAAGGTCAATTTAATTAACAATTTTCTAAATTATAATTTTTATATATTCTTCAATCACTCCTAATTATATGCAAATGAAGATTTTTTAATTATAGAAAAGTGTCTTAAATATTTAATCATTGAAGGGTGGTGTTGTCTCTATGCCCTAAAAAAATTCTTAACAACTAGGTAGTTGGTGAGTTTAATGTATATAAATATAGAGGTAGGATTTAATTACATATAATTTTTTAATTTTATATTGATCTATGGTCATTGGACGAATGTAATTTGAGGGTTGAGATTAAAAGTAAAAAGTGCGAAGTTTTTTTTTTAAAAAAATAAAGTGAATAATCTTAGTCATTAACTTACACTTATCTAAAGAATATAAATCAATATATTTTTTTTTAATTTTTATAATATAAGTGAATAATTTAATATTAGGTTTTCATTTTATATCAATTTTAGATAAGATTGAAATAAAAAACCATATAAATTGGATATTGATTTTAACTATAATATTTTAGATGATTTTTAGTTCATAGTTTAAGAGAAGTGATTATTCAAATTGAATCAATTTTTTTTTAATTAATTTAAATCCTTTGTATTGTAAAATATTATTATATATATATATTTGAATTAATAAGGATAATTAATGTTATTCGATAAATAAATAGAAAATACAATAAAATTATAATATTTTAAAAAAATTAAAGTATTTTTTTTTATAACAAAAGTTATAAAACTCCTAAATTAAGTTACTTAAGTCACAACCTTGTGCCATCAGAATTCCTTTAAGGCCTACTAGAGGTGTTGAGATTATGTAGCATCGTCTATTTCCGACTCGAGCCGCTACTAGATTTCCTTTGCGGTGCACATGTATAATCTTAATCTCTCAATCCTTTTGCAACATCTTGTTAATGTGATGTCCTAACGTTAATTCTTATTCCATGAGAGCATTCTTTTATAGATTCCTTCACACTTCCTTGTTGTCCACTTGAACCATTATCTTCCTTGTTCCGAGCTCTCATGCGCCTTTTAGCCCTTCAACCACCCCTCACAATTCAGCCTCTAGAACCGAACGTGCACCAATTGACTTGTGAAAAACCCATTTTCCACTGACCTCTCTCATCCCTTATCACCCCTCCACATGATGCTAATCTATTTGATATATCTCTCGCACCATTGGTATTCAGTTTAGGCCACCCTGGCGGTGGTGTCCAAGGAGCTTCGGACCTCTACTTTCGACTTTCAACAGTTCGAAGCTCCTTTGCTGCTGCATCGGCTCTGCATGTTTCAACAGCCAATCTTCAACTACACTCCAATAATGTTTCTCTCTCAACATTTTTCGGATCAAAGATTCACTTATTCATTTGCAACCATAAATTCCAAATAATGGCTCCAAATAGTATGTCCCATGATTCTCCATCTCTCACAAAACGCCAAAGATTGACCGGGTTCCCATACAACCAGTCTTTTATGTTTAACGAGAAAAATTGTCACCTTTTCCTCTTTTATAAACATCAACCAGATCGTGCTTGCTATTGGGCATTGTCGCTACACGTGATCCACATCTTTCCATCCATTGCCGCAACTAGCGTCAACAGTTATATGTCTTCGAACTCTCTCACCATTTGTTAATATAGCTTCTCGAGCCACAAGCCACATGAAAGTCTTGATTCGTTGTAATCCTCTATACATTTCTATTACCTTCCAAATTGTTTCCTCCTTACCCTCAACCTAGTTAGTTTGAACTTCATATGCGGATTTAACTGAGAATTTCACTCCATTTCCAACCTGATGAATCATCTTGGAATGATGCGATCGGAGGTTTTATAGCCGCTATCCTTACTAGGATCGAATGTGGGAGGAGCAGATCGATCTCGTCCCACTTTCATTCACCCTCCTCGTCAACCATGGATGCAATGAAATTTGTTCCCGGACTTTACGCTCTAGAATCTATAACATAAATCTTCATTGGTCCAATCCCATTTAACCATGGATCCTTACAAAATTTTATCATTTGCCTATTACGTATATTCCAAACTATTCCATAACGCATTTCCTCCCAAACTCTACAAATGGAACAGTTGGTTGTCTTTAGATTCTTTGGGATAGTGTCTCTCCATCTGAATTTTGCTCGCAGGAATTTTACCCGCAGTTGGTTCTTTTTCCTTAATAACTGGAACGCAACTTTCATGAGGAATACTTCATTTTGATGAGCAAATTTGTTCAACTCCAAACCTCCTTCCAGAGTTGGTTCGCACAAAGTAACTCGATTGACGAGATTGGTTCCACCTCTGTCCGTAGATTGGCCCTAAACAAACCTTCTGATCAGTGGTTCAATTTCTAAACAAATACCTTTAGGAAGTGTTGTTGACTGCATGGTATAAGATGATGTCCTTGGCCAAAGTGATCTGTCCAGCTAACGACAATTGTTTCGCCTTCCAACCAGTTAGCTTATCTTGTACCTTTTGCACTAAATATTTATATGAGTTCTTTGTCACCTTACCATGGATTATTGGGACTCCCGCATACTTTCTCATGCCTTTTTCTCCGAAGGCTGAACAAAAGTTCTCTTGGACCTTACAAATTACCTTCAGCTGATTGATTACTAAAAGTAAAAGATACGAAAAAATATCATAATAAGTGAAAGATAAATTACTAAATGAAGTAGGAAGGACTACTTTTATTTATATATATATATACATATATAAAAACAAGGTGTAGTTATAACGTTTTTATGTTATTTTAATGAAATCTAGAAAAGGTTAAAACTTTATCTAAATGAAATTATTAGCATGGGCGTTTGGTCTTGGTGGTGATTCCCTCTTTGGTTGCGAGGGGCTAGAGTTCGATTCGCGGAAAGCCCATTTTCAGATTATCATTTCTTTTATTACGAAATTTGTATTTTAATGGAAAAATGTAGTAATTTGATAATACGGCGCCGAACCAGCAAGCAAGAGCTTTACTGTCAAAATAGGTCATAATCATGCAGACATTTTACAGTTGATCGAATCTTGCCCTGGATTAAAATAACTTCAATCAGTTAAACTATGTTAATATTTTATTTGTCTATTACTACTGAGAAATCAAATTGAATTGGTTTTGTATGCATTTTAGTTAATTTTGTAATCGATATTGCAATTCGAAATAGACGGTTTTGCAAACAGAGACCCTTAACATGAACTATTTTTGTTTTTATCATTCGACCAAACGTCATTTCAATTTTTTTGATAAATTTATACAAAAAAAATTTCTCTTTGATTCATTGGACTGAGTATTTCTTTTCAATTTCAGATAGTGGAGGGATCGAGAAAAAATATATATAATATATCCCAAATTTTCGATAACCAGATGTTGAAGATTACATCGAAAGAAGGCAAGTAAAAATATTAATTTGAATCTTCTCAATCTCAAGAAAATCAATTTGAGAAGAAAGAAAAGAGAGAGAGAAATGGTTTGATATCAATTATATAGTAAATGATTGTGGAGAAGGATTCCAATCATCAAAAAGGAAAGGGTGAAACTTTAGGAAAGTTCTATAAATAAAAAGCACGTTTGGTACTATCGATAGACACTTAATTGACCAGATTAATTAAAAAAATACGTTAAGTATTTAGATTATTATTTTAACCTGATTAGAGCCTAAAATAATTCGAATTCAACAAGACCAGAACCTGAAATTTTTTAAAACAAGAACTAATCCGACTCGAACTGAACTAAAACAGAACTAGCCAACTCACCCAATCGAAAGATTAAATTGTTATTTCAAATATGAATGAATTAGAAATCTAAAATCAAATGAGCTCCAAAAAGAATTTGATTCAATCGTTTGACTATTTACTTGCCCGAATATCAGTTCCTGGTTAAGGCGTTAAGGCCAAAACGACTGCTTCAGGAATCAGGACAATCTTACCATAAAACTGTCAGTACAACTGCTTCGGCTTCTCGATTTTTACTATACATAACTAAATCTGTTTCCATGGAAGGCGTGTATCGGTGCGGCAGCTCGAATCCGCAGAGCCGTCGAAGATCAAGTTGAGGAAAACGAATCAAAACCTTAATAACCAAGCATCGCTCCCGAGTGTACCCACCGCACAAAACTATCTGAGAATTCCTCAAGAGCGTTGGATTGTGAATTAGCGGAAGATAGGAGCTCAGTTCCTGCCTGCTGCCGTCCCTGCACGATATATATACAACGGTTAGCCGTTATGTTTCCATCGGACAAACTCATAGCTCGAAATTACAAGGTTTTCAAAGACTTTTACGTCTCAAGTAAACAATTCTCCAATAAAAATATTATGTCTCGACGTGTTTTTCTTTTCAACTACGGACTGCTTTCTAGTTTGAGTGCATCAATGTTATAAATGGTATATGCAGAAAACAAGAACATTCTACCAGGAGTATGAGTACTGACCTTTCTACTCGATCCGTATTCGCTGCTGGATGGGGTTGCTTCCCCCAATACTCCATTAACAACATTCTCTGATGAAAAGCCGACATGGGAAGAGCTAGTCGACCTGCATGTACTCAAGAGAACGACTTACTGTATTTTCCTCGGATAATTTATACACACCGTTTATCGCATGATTTAGTTTTATAGTAGTTAAAAGATATCCGGAAGTCGCCTTAACGAAACATAAAATGCATGATTTTGTTTGCTATACGGTACCAAACTAAAATAAAATGCATACCCCCCCTCCCCCCAAACACAAACAAAAAAAAATGGAAATTAAAATTATATTAACTTATATTATATATCATGAGGTACCTATCGGCCGGTTCATCATCGCAAGAACTTCCAGATGATGAAAGATAGTCCAGGTCAACAAAGTTAGAGCTATTGAATCCATCCCCGCGTTCAGAGAAGAAAATGCGACCAGTTTCGAGACAATAGTCTCTTTGCATGTCCCCAAACAGTTGCCTTGGAGGCATTAAGTGAGTATACCTACACAAAAAAATAGAGGACTATGAAACATATGGTTCGGACAGCTTATTCACACAGAAATGTTTAAACAAAAATGAAATACGAAGTCGTTGACACTAAAAAGTTGTTTGGCCAAACATTAAGAATATAGACATTAAATGATCCATGAAAACAAAGATGCAAATTCCATCTCATTAGCTAACAGTTGACACAAGAAATAGAGGAAATGCAAGGAACCTTGCATACGATATATCACTTTCACAAGTTGATATCTCAGGCGAGGACTCTGAAAGGCCAGGCAAAGTCGAATTCAAAGATTTCTCTTGCTTGCCATTTTTGGCCGACTCAGGTGACTCACTTGGCCAAAGAATGTTTCCATCGGAAAGAGATCTTTTAAAAATTGACCTGAAAGTCGAACATTGGAAAGTGAAGAGGTGAGCAGCGGTGAGAATCTCTTCCGAATTGACGAGACAAATGTGTAAGCAAAAGTGTAGAAACGCTACCTTCCATCGTCATCCACAATTGTTTCCCCGTTTCTTCCCCTGTAACACTGATAGGAACTCAACTCCCAAACTGCAGGTTTACCAGGCTGGGGCTGGAAATACCCGAGAAATCTGCACAAAGAAATATTTAAAAGAATGAGCAAATAATTAATAAATGAATTCAAGAAACTTACAAAAGAAATGTAAAACAAACTCCAAAGGAAAAAAGGCCACCATTTTATTCTAACACAGCATATGTATTAACCCCAAAGGACCAAAATTTCACCCAAAAAGTGTTACAGATAAAAGACTGAAACTTACACATTAATTGCATTTTGTTTCTCCGCATCTATGTACGCATTGCTATAATATCGTTGAAGAGTTCTAAAAAATTCTTGAGACTGGGTCGCTGCTCTCCATTGACCCCTTCTTTGAGAAAATATCTGTATACGTATAAAAGATATAAAAGAACAGAGAGTTAACAGGCTGAAGACTGCATTTAGGACAGAAATTTGACAGGCAACAGCCAACAGAAGTACAGTACAAGAATGCATGTTTTAAGTAACAATTCAGTCACTGTGTTTCCCTTGTAATCCATAACCATCACTTCTCGAAGTATAGATATCACAATCACAAAAAAATACTCAAAAAGGTTGTTCAATTTTTTTTTGCCATGTTATAAGATACTGACTACCACAATTTCTCAACTTAAATCGAAAAGAGAAAAAGTATGAAGCATCGAATTCACTCAAGACAAATTAATATACCAAAACATTGGGAGCATTAACCTCTTTGAGAAGGAACAACCTAGTTCTATCAAAATTTAGAGAAGCCCATCTATTCCAACTTTGTAAATTGCATATGGTTACAAGTACGATCACAAAAGCTTGATTACCTTGTTGTGAGCTGCAGAGCCACCATATTGATGCGCAAGTGTGTCACCCATTCTTTCATAGAAACTCATTAATTCATCAGCCAAAGGATCATTGAGGTCTATTTTTGGGGAACCCTTAACCCCTAAAGCATGAAGCTGGCTTCCCAGAGCAGCCAATCCATATGCATACTGTGCAACATTTGTACGGTCCAAACAGTCTATGCAATTGGTCCTAAGCAGACCTCTTTGGAATGTGGGAGGCTTCACAGAATGATTTCCATTAGCAACATTATGATCTCCAGAATACCTCCTCTTTGATCCATAAACATCCTCTGCAATATCATTGCAATATTTCTGGGGTGACATGTCACCATCCTCAATATTCCTGAAATATATTTTCAGAACCAAAATGCCATTTTCAACTCATAGCAAATAGCAAAACACTAACGATCATTGATCAATATCTTATAACATGGCAATGACATTATTAAATTCCCAGTATCCCACAATAATTACATTACTATAAAGTAAAAGTGCCCAAAAAACAATAAAGTCTAAGTATTTATCTAATGCAAGAATCTAACACACTGCAAATTTGAAAACCTAATAGAAAATTCAAGAAAAGATAACTACAACCATCTAATCAACCATTCTATAAGTGAAACTGAAACTGAAACTGAATGAAAGATGATATAACTTACTCAGAGAAAGGCCATGCCGTACACTCCTCAGGTTTCAAGGCTGATGTCATCCGACAATAAAAGAAACCTGTTAACATTAATGCATATCTAGCCACTTTGCCCAGAATTTGCAAAACATTTGGTGATTTGCTGGGAGGAAAAAATGGAGTTTTTCAAGCTGGTTAGGAATCAAACTCTAAAATGAATAAAACAAAGAACAAAGAGGAGGCGATAGAATGGGGGAGAAAGCAAAACATATAACAAGCTTAGAACATATACCTCCGAGAATGTTTGTGTAGATCCCAGTGAAGGAATCTCAAACGGTTCTCTACTGACAAATCTTTATTAATAAAATCAATCGCATTTGCAAACTCTTGACGGAGAATTGACTCTCGAGGCTTCTTCTCTTCTGTCTGCTCATCACACAAAAACAATTGTGTTCAGAATCTGATTAGCAAATCAGTCATGCAATGAAGCTACATCAACAAATTCCCCAGCTAAACTTCCTTTCCTTGATCCAATAGAAATGGTACTTAATAAAAAATTTCTACTACATGTAATATCTTAATGAGATATACCAGGTTCAGAAGTAATACAAAGATGGAATGATTCTAAATAGAATGATATGCATACAGCAGAACAACCTTCTTACCTTGATCAAATTCAAGATAATTATGGGGTTGCCATATCTCTCGACAAGATTTTCAAAATGAAGTCTGGTTGCTTCATAATTTTGGTCCTTCCTTGACACTAATTAAAAAAAGAAAAGAAAAGAAAGGATAAGACATTCTATTTTCTTAACATAAAAAGGGTCAAAGTAACACCTAAAGTACTCTCATAGATTACAAGCACATACGTATGATATCTGGTTTTAGATTCAACCGTGATGTTTCTTGAGACCAAAAGAGTGGGATTGACCCTCGGTTCTGGACAATGGAAGTTATTTGTGTGGGAAACCCGTCAGAGACATCCTCAAAAACAATCTGCTCTGTCTCAACATCATTAGCTACTCTGCCTTTCTCATTTACTCCTCGTTTCAGATACCTAAATGCAAAATCAGATGCAAATGATGATGAGTTTAAGCCATTAACCTAAGCTTAATTCCACCTCATAAGGAATTTCAAAAAAATAAATTAAGCCTTTTAGCACAAATGGGGGACAACTTTCTTACCTGGTACCTGCATAGTAACGGGACCGTCTTGCTATAAGCGTAAGTTTGAAATCCCGTCCAGATACAGAGAGTGAGGCCTACATTCACAGCCCAATGTCAACATATGAAGCTTAGAAAGAAACAATAAACATCCATCTATTCAGTACAGCAGAACTGAACAAGAAAATTAGCCAAGCATCCATCCTTAACCTGCTTAAAGAAGCCATACACTAATGCAACTGTCCATAGAGTATTCTGGAGGTGATTGCGGATTCCTCGGGTCAGGAACTCATTCCAAACAAACATGGTCTCATAAAGTACTTGGCCTTGTTCATTATTACACAAGTTCTTTTGAAGACTACGCATAACATGGTATGAATAGCTGAAGAAGAAGTCCTTTGTAAGATCCACCGTGCCTAGGAGTTTTTTGTACCTAAACGAAAATGAAACAATGAATATCAAATTACAAACCATTTATGTAAAATGCCCAGCAGGAAAAAGCACTTAGATTCAAAACAAATACAAAGGAGACTATTACATACTAAGAATTTTCTACTTTTCACACAACAGAATATAACATCTTTCTGCAAAACATTAATGACATTCTAGCAGTAGACAAATAAGTTAGCACGCATAATAGAAGAATACCTGTTTTCATTCCTAACGTCTGAAATGCCTGGGTTGACAGTTGAAATCGGGAGGGGAATCATCTCACTTTTCGAAACCGCATATACATTGTGACCGCAAATTGCACCAATCCGTCTTCGTTTTGTAATAAGCAGCATATAGTAAGGCCCCAAAAATTTAATAAACCCTAAAACATGAAAAAAAAAATAGGCACCGGATAAGAATTTACATAACAATAGTACCCTAAAGTCAGTACAAAATTCAACATCCATACCAACAATGCCATAACAAGCCGTAACAAACTTCAATCCACCAGTGGGTTTATTTCCTTCGTGTATTCGCCTCAACAACTCTGAGCATTCAAACTCCGTGTAATTGGTAGAATCCTCGCGAATATTCAACTCGAAAGGATCAAGCCTATCAATCTTTAATACTCTCCAATAAGTTTTACTCTTATTCCTTCCAATCATATAAAAGTTCTGGACACAAACAATACAATGCAAACAATCAAAATAAAACTATAGCAACTTAATTTAATAATTCAAATCTTAAATCAATGCTATTTTAACTAAACTACACATCTAAGTTAAATTACTAACAATAAAAATTGAACATATCATAAATGGACCAAAACTTAATACAATGAAAGACATACATAAAAGAAGAAGAAGAAGAAGAAGAAATTACCGATCGAGTTTCGTAGAGTCTGAATTTCTGCATACAGGTAGAAGTCTGAGATTGCGAGGAGATGACATTATTGTTAATAATATCATATTTTTCTGCTGCGGAAGATTCCATGATAAGCTTCTTTTTTCTCCAAAATTCCAATTTCTAGCTTCGGATCTCCTCCCCGAGCCTTGAGCTCAGGGAATTTAACAGAAGAACATGCACAAAAGCGAAAACCGTTCCTAATTTTGATTTTTAGTTTCTGTTGAGAGAAAAATTCCTTTTAACTTAATCCGTACAATACCTCATTCTTGCGCCAAAACATTGCTCGAGGAGTTTTGCCGCCCCAAACACAACAACAATGGAAACTCAAACAAAGCCTGGGTATAAACCTTTGACCTCTCCGGCTCCGACTACTTTCTCATTAATAATTCGAACAAAGAAAACACGAACGCCAGTAAATTCCTCCACAAATCGTCCAAATTCTATGGATCTTCTTATCCGATCACCGTGAGTAAAATCTTCGCAGATGAAAATGGAAGAAACTATATATATAAAAACAGATTTTCGCAGATTCCAGAAAATTAGAAAAGAAAAGTTAAGCGGCCAAGGCTAATATTAGCGATGAAATTACAATTGTTGTTTGTCTTTGGTGAAAATGTGAAATGGTTTGATTGATGATGTTTGGGTTGAAGATATGAAAATAAATATAAAAGTATTATAATTTTTTTTTTCTTCAGATCCAAAGTATTATAAAAATAAATGCCTCGTAATGAGATTTCAACTATTGAACTTATGTTATACGCTTATTTTTATTTTTAGTTTAAACACGGTTGAAGTATTTGAATTTTTTTAATTTTTTATTTAACTAAATTTCTAAATTAAAATATTAAATTAATCAAGTGTTTGAATCTAAAAGTTAAATCGATTATGTTTTTCGATTAACTTTTATCGTTAATTTTTAATATTTTTGTAAATATTATTATCACGTGACATACTACAATTATCTTTAATAAAATTTATATATATATATATATTTTTTTAAATTCACTTACCAACAACATCGATATATTTAAAGAAAACTTCTGATTTATTGTCGATAGATCGAAGGAATAAATTGTTGAGTTTCATAATAGATATAAAAAAATCAGTGATTTAATTGTTTTTTTAATTCAAGAACTTTTAACACCCTTAAGTATTTATTTTGAATTTTTAATTATTATATATGTTGGATAACTATAAGGAAATATATGCTTAGGATTTTTCATGGTTTTTAGTAATGTATACCTACCTTACGAATGTAATTGTTCGAATGTGAGTCCTTTAGAGAGAATAACATTTTAGTTTATCAATGAGATCACTCAATGAGTTTAGAAATCTGATAATTTTTTAATATTAGGGTAAAATATATAAATGATCTTCCGACTATAGGGTGCACTGACTATTAAAGTAACAAAATGAACTATCAACTATAAAATATTACTTTGTTGAGTCTTCCAATTATTAAAAATTACAAAATGGTCACGTGATTATTCATATGTTCCAAACTCGTCCTTTTATGTTAATAAATTGATGGTTGTTTGAGCTTGATGTTAACCTATTGTTTGGGATGCGATAAAATTATGTTTTAATGATGTCAATCGGCATCGTCGTTACTTTTTAAACATTGGTTCAATGACATAATGTTTCAAGCACTAACTCGACGATATAATGTAAATGAATACTTGATCCACAAAATATATTTCAAATAATTCTAAGATCAGGTTTATCATATCTCATTTAACAAGTTAACGTCTAACTCAGAAGGTCATCAATATTTTAATGAAAAATGACGAGTTTGAAACATATAAATAGTCAGAAGACCATTTGTAACTTTTAATAATCAAGATACTCAATAAAATCATATTTTATAATTAAGGAATCATTTTATAATTTTTAACAATTAATAGATTTAACAAAACAACATCCTATAATCGATTTATGTTTACTGTTAATTTTAATATTTCTTTCTGATATGAAAGCGGCCTAAGCCATCACATAAAAAAAATTGAGTATGGGGCGGACCATAGAAGTCTCTATAAATAATATTTAGCATATAAGTAGGGGCGAGTTAAAAATTGATAGATAATCAGTTGAAGTTAATGGGTCTTTTGTGATACTACCGACTACATTTGCTTCACGTGGGATGAGAATTTATATTAAGACACGTAACAAATGTAGTACAATCTCGTAATATCATATTAACAAAATAATTGAAAATTTATATTTAGTGGATAAAAAATTAAGGATTAAATTAAAAAAAGACAAATTTGGAGATTAAATATTGTATGTTAGCAAATAAATATCGAGAATTTATTTAATTTTGTCTCCATTGACCTTAATTAAGTGATTTGTTTCGAGCTGTGGTTTTGGTTATTTTGAATTTTGGTGCAATGATTATTAATTTTCACAATTTTACCAATTATAATCAATTATTCAAATTATTTTATATAATTAAATATTGAACTAAGTATTTGTACCAATAACTCCAATTCAGTTGTCAATTTAATATGGTGATGCAAATTGCACGCTGCCCGCGTTTCACTATCACTAGATAAGTTACTGCACGAGATTCAGAGGTTCATGTAGCCTTAGAGCACGAGATTGAAAGTGTGGCCTTAGCTTTGATGATTAAAGCTACAATATATATATATATATATATATATGATCCGATTTTACCATATAATTTTTTTTTTAATTTTATATAAATTTAAGATTATTGGATAAAGAAAAATAAACAATTGAAATTAATAGTATTTTTTTATTAAATTAAATGTGATTATAAAATAGTATTTGTTCTAAGTACTCTTAACCACTTGACAATAAACATTGAATCACTCTTCCAGTTGTTGGTGCTCGAATCTGTGACATCTATGAACAATAACGATTCTTTTAACCGTAGAAAATGAGAAAATATTCACTTAAAAAATTAAAAAATTAATCTTAACCGTTTATTTTCAATCATCCAATAAATTTGTTTATATATATATATATACTAGTCGTACCATATATGCAAATTACTAGTCAGAATTTAAATCAATCTTTAAATTTAGAATATTCTAATTGAATTTTTAAATTGAAGTATTTTTTCAATAAATTCTTTGATTTGATTAGTTATTAATTTTAACCTTAAATGTTAAATCAAATCTATAGTATTAAAAACATTATTAATTCACACATGTTTGACAAAATTTGATATATAACAAAATTTGATATATAAAGTCGGAGTTTATAAGTAATATAACGAAACAAATCTCACATTAACTAAATGCTGATTTCTTCACATATAAAATATTGTATTTAAACTTATATTTATCAAGTGAGTGACGACAAGACTCATATACACATGTTGTTCCTGTTATTCACCTGATTTATGTTTGTGTTCGTATTAACATACATAGTATGTATGTTTTTCAACATTGTTAGTGTAAATTTTTATCTGAAAATATTTTTTTCATATTTATTAACAGATTTGAGAAAACATCTACGATTTTTTAGATAATTTCACTCTTATGTTTCTCTTATAAAAGAGATTTTCCTATTTTCCACACCAATTAATATACAATATTCTCCATCTTGAGTGATTTGCTCCTCATTTTATTTCAATGAGATGTGTTTTTGTTGCTTCCTTTTTTTAGTTTTAGAGTTTATCTCTCTCTTCATTTTAAAAAAAAGTTTTTATTTAGTTTCATCATCTTCATATGAGTTTGTAAATTTGAAAGTATTGCGTTAATATTAAGGGTTAGTATTCACTTTTAATTATACCAATCATAACGAAATAATTTTTAAAATAATAGTTCTTCATAATATATTATTTAATTTATTCTATTATTATTTTTACTTGTTAATACTAACGTGTTCGTTTTGCAATAGTAATTATCTACCATAGTTGACATAAAAAACCTATTGGAACGATACTTTAATCCGAAAAAATAATTGAAACATTTTAAAGTCCGGCAATCTATTTAAAATTTGGAAATGGGCTTAACCCATTATTGCAATAAAATTGAATTGTCATGAAATCAGGAAACAAATCAAGTTGATTGTGACATTAGTTCTTTAAATGATGTTTCCCCATATATTAGTAGTGATTTCAATTAATTTTGCAATTAGTGGAATCCATGTAGTTTGTCAAAGTTATTCTCAAATGGCTCGAAAATGGAATAAACCTACTACAAAGCCTAGGTTGACATGAAATTCAAGGACTTACAGAGAATTAGTTTAATTTTTATTTTAGTCCTTTTATTAAAATTGTATAATGATAAAACTACTCTCTAATTTTTGTACAAATAACCACTTTACATCCTATTTTTATTTTGGAGTATTTTTCTTAGATAAATGTTGCTTTATTCATTCAAAATAACTTCACTATACATACCATTTACAAACAAGAAAAAGTAAAAACGCAGCACCTATAAAATCATAATCCAACGAAAAAGAAAAAACATATGCCAAGTTCCACTCTGCAGCAATCAAAGAGGAAGGAATAGCAACCTTAGTACACCCCCAACCTCAACCTTACAGTATGTTTTATCTTTAGAACAATACACTCAACCTGTCGAGGACCAGTCTCATGTAGTCTACCATTTCTCTCCTGTCAAATATAGTAAAGATAACAGCATCAAGCTAACTGAATGATGATCGCCTTCAAGGACTTACCCTACCATGAGCTTGAACCCAATGCACCATATCCATCCAGCAATGCACATACCAAGGTTTCAAATCACGGTCCGAAAATGTGATTTCGTCCGCGAAATAACGGTTTTGTTGCCCTCCGAGTTACTCACTACACCCACAATAGCGCCCAATAGCGCTCGCGACGGCCACAATCACGATAAACCCGAAATGACCGAAAACGCGACCGCGACCGCGATTTGAAACCCTGGCATAGACCAATCAACATGACATGCTCAAAAACAACAATTCAAACCTATCTAGAAAAACTACATTCAACAAAAACACGATCCCTATTTTCAACACTATAATCACAAAGAACACAAGTAGGGTCAATGTGATCACTCCCCAATGGAACATACGTACCTTCGTTGGCAATCGATCAAGAAGAACAAACCAAGATATGAACGAGTGTCGAGGGATAGATAGACCCCAGATGATTTTGAACCAAGGAAACTTATCTTGCTTGCACCAAAGAGTTTCCCAAACCTTCTTCACTTGGTAGTTCCCATCCAGGCCCCCACAAAAGCATAGTCATCCCTTGAATTCAGAATCTTCTTCCAAGTCCAACTATAGCTATTCTTCAACAGAGTTTGTCACAAAGCGCACCCCTCAAAATATACTTTTTAACCTAAGCCACCCAAAGAGAACCAGATTGTGCAAGGAAAAGCCACAAATATATTTCATTATATGAAATCGTTAGTTATTTGACAGTTAACATATGGTGTTAATGTGATATTTTCATATATATCTAATTAATGATATGACACATATCACATCATCACTTTAAGTGACATGGTACATGTCATGTCATAATTTTGGGTGACGTAATATATGTCACATCATCAACATGAATTGATCATTAGTCAACTAATAATTTTCATCCAATAAGATCTGTTTTGACCAAAAATTTAAACATTAAAGATAAAATGCTTAAAAAAATATGATGTAAAGTAATCATTTATACAAACGTTTCTTATTATTATGCCTATTAAAATTAAGGTTTAATCCTTTTATTTTAATTTAACATAATTTAGTTAGGTGGTTTTACAATGTTCATATTCGAACCAAATTAATCACTAAAAGAGTTACTGTAACAAATTAAATGGTCTTAAATATTCAATTAACATGTAAATTTATTATTTTTTGAATATAAGAACGATGCCATGTTAAACAAGGTCTTGACCTCTTGGTTAAATGATAATTTTTTATTTTTAGTTTGTCCCAAATACTAATAATTCAGTTTAGCCCTTTTTAGTTATTTAATTTAGTCTTTTTAAAATAATTTTTTAGCTTTGGCCTTCTAAAATTTTACTTCCTAGATCCTACACAAAGTTGGTAATGATTGACAAGTGATTCTGGCTATGTAATTAAATAACAATAAAATCAAACAATAAAAAAAGAAGAAAACCCAAAATTAGTATCAAACTATACTTATTATAACAATAAAAGAAGAAGAACCAAACTATCAAATTTCAACATAATAGATCAAAAAACAAATTCACTAGTTGAAAGAAACCCTTTATCTTATAGGACTAAAAAACTAATTGATTCCATTAGAATCTCAATGTTAGATGGTGACATGAGGGACTTACTTGAATTCAAAGCAACGTTGGGGGTGTCGTTATTGAATGTACTAAGTTTTTAGTGTACCATGTGCTCAATCATTGCCCTATTTGGCCTCATTGAAAATCCAAAATCAAACAAAAGGGCTAAACGTCAAGAGTTTGGGTGTCGGCAACATAGTTTTAAGTTAAAATAGGGATTATCATGAATATAGTCCCTAAATGTATGGAATTAGGAATTCATTATCAACGAATATGACTACATTTTTAATAATAATGCAATTATTGTTTAGTTATGCCATTAAGGTTTGCACGTCGGACTGTTACTACATAAATCTCGACGACTATGAAAATGATTTGTTCTTGCTTCAATCCTCCGGAGACTCGTTTTGGAAATAAAAAATAAATTACATCACAAATTATTCTATCATTAATCAGTTTATGATTGAGTTACACATATTTTTTTAAAGAAAATCACAATTGAATCATTCAATTAATTAATTGTAATATTATTATCCATTACAATATAACTTCAAACAACAACATCGGCAAGGATATATATATATATACGTGTCAATAATTAAAAAAGATTATTAACAAACACTAAATTATAATTATCCTAAATTATTTATTAAAAAACATATTTGTATCGCCCACAAACCATATATAGTACATTATCTTATAAAGTTAGTCCACTAACTTTCAAATGTTCTATTAAACTCCTCAAAATAATAAAATCGACGAAAAGAAACAGTTGTTACAGCATTCCATTGGAGAAAAAATTTGTTGAGCTAGCTCGTTAAATCAAATCAAGTAAAGTTACTCTTCTTCATCTCTGTTTTGCATAATACAAAATATTGGGGAAATTAGGTTGTGAGGGTTCTCGTTAATGGCCAGAGCTATATATGAGAACAACAATGGGGGGATGGGATACAATACAATAATTACATTTCCTAATATCCTGCCTTATCTCATTCATTATACTTGTTAATGGCTATGCATGTCAATAACCGTTCATCGGTTTCGTTTTCTTCTTAAGACTCGAGATGCTGCAGTGCGGACAAACGTACTCCAGCCCATCTGTCTTCGCATAATCCTGTCGTTCACGAGAGAGTTAAACCGTGGTCGGTTGCATGATCCTATCGTATTCTGGTTTCATTTCTTAATAGGAAAACTTTGGAAGGTATACCTTAAAAGCTCCGAGTCCTAGCCGCCTGTCGCAGCCGAAGTGAGCCCATTCGCCACAAACTCCACAGTTCACCCAGTCACCAGCAGCGCTACTGTTTTTGACACGTGAACTTTCCACCGTCAGTATCACAGACAATTCCATATATGTGCAAACGTAAGAGCGTGAGTGGGATACCTGTGACATAACAAACAGCATTCTCCATCCACATCGTCGTGAGCCAGTTCGTACTCTAAAAGGTAAGTCTCGTAATGTCTTTTCAGAGTGTTGCCCACTCCCTGGGTAAATTAGAGGAAGAAGCAATGGTTATCGGTCCAATATTCGAAAGTCGACAAGAACTTAAAACTCAACAGGATGAAACAACATACAGTCATTCTATTTGTCAATGTGTGATTGCGCATCTTCGAAAAAACTTGTCCCTTCCAATTTATGCCGTTCCCGACATGAAAACCTCCTCTAGACACCACCTCACTATACAAGTTAAAAAGGTCAAGACGCTTCGCATTCAGAATGGCATCGGGAAACTCGGCTAACCCACCTTGAGGAACCAACCGAGTATGTCCTCGAAGAATCAGAAACTGCATTACATCTCTCAAAAATTCTTCCTGCCAGAAAATAAACAGACAATATACATATATTCAAATAATATACATGGATGCAATATTTGTAAATTCTTTAACTCGAAACACAGAGAAGAAGACTAACCTCTGAGCAAACCTGTATCGGGGCTCTACCACAACCATGTTTCTTAAGAGGTAACGGATTTAAAGATATAATCTGCTGGGCTTGATAAGAACTCGACAATGCTTTCCGCTGTGTAACAGATGCAGGTTGCTTCACAGGAACTACCGGCAAGTTAACCTTTCCTAGGTCACCGTCATATCTCTCGGTCTTGGACAATCCAGAAAAGGGAAGCATCTTATGACGATGGGTGTGTGGAATTGGTCTCATAGCAGCAATATTAGTTTTCGGTCTTGAAATACCATTTACACTTTCCATGACGGTACAGTTTAGAGGTTTAGTGTCTTTACATGGCTCTGACCTTTTCCGACAAGGTGGCGGCGGCACCAACCAGCTCGGGGTTCTGGCAGTTATTGAACTACCAAAGGAGGGATCCTTGCCCAGGTTTTTGCAAAAGAAAAGAAGACGTTCAGCATCATCTTTTTCGAAAGATGCAACTGACAAACCCTGGATGCTAGCAATCCCCAGCATAACTAAGCTGCGGTACGACACATCTGGTGCAAGTTGCCTTAATACCTGTCAAAAGTCATTCCGAGATACTCTTTTTGGTTTCAAATATATCAAGAAAAATCGAGCAAACTTTAAAATGGTTAAAGAGTAACGTGGTAAAAGAGAAAACCAGACTTGTGAAGCCCATGTCGGCACCTTCATGCACACTTCAAAAACACTTGCTCCACAGGCAATCGACGATGATCTACGAGGCTCGGATGGGGGCGATTTGCTCTCCTTGGAACTTGACTGTGCACAGACTAACTGACTCTTCTCGATAAGCTCATTTTTTATGTGATTTTCCAAAATCTAAGACAAAGAAAACAAGAAAAGGAAAAAGTTTGAGGCTTGAACTTAAAGTAACAAAACTAGCAATCAACCCGATCACAATTACTTGCCTGATCGTTAAAACAAGTCTGTGCACTACCAGACACTAGAAGTGATATGTGAGTCGAACTGCAGGTTGAAAAGTCACAACGCATGGTGACTACACCTCGAGAAAATGCTCCCGTCTGAAGAGGTGGTGGTGGAGCACTATAAGAACGGAACCCCATAAGTATGTTGATGATAACACACAAAAGTAACTTCAAGGAAGCAATAGCATGGTGAATGGGAACTTCATAAGAGAAAAGATCAAAGTCGCAAACATATAACTCAAAACCCTCGAAACTGAACAAAGCCAAAAATCAACATCCCAAAAGAAACTATAACTAAGCTCAAATTTATGGATACCTCGCTCGGTTGTGGAGCTTACTCCCTCGTATCTAAAACATGTAACAATTGAATCTAGTTAATAAGTGGAGAAAACAGAACATATAAGTTCGACCAAAAAAAATCATACAAACTTACTTCTATGCTTAAGAGGGCATTAAGCCCATCCTCCAAAGATCCCAAAAGGAATGCATCCTGCAGAGCATACAGTTAACAGCCAATACAAACCGGGGTGAAAAGGTATTTTTACCGTTTCAAGAACAGATAAACTAAAACACAAACCTACCAATGCGCATGGCAATCCACAAACAAGAAACCTCATAGTCACATCATCATCATATATCTTTATGGCAGCAAAATTTTCAGGAGAGCTTTCTTCCTCTTGCATGTCAATCTCCGGTTGGGAAACATCAATCTTGGGAGGCTCCCCGAGCAGACGAGGTCCTGGCTTAACACTTTGTTTCTCACCATTAGAAGAGACGCTATTATTGTTCCGTACACAGTACAGTCTAAAAGAAGCGTGGGCGAGTTGGAACGCATCCCATGTATGGCTACATGAACTGCAATAGACCAAAACTGCAAAACTTTAGAACAGTCTCCAGTGAATTTTTTTCCCATTTTTTATAATATCTCAGTAAGCCTTAATATAGGTTAAAGTCATTGAAACTGGAGTGCTTAAATTTGTGTTATCAACCGATTTCCGAAGTTAACAGCACTACCAGCAACCATTATTCAAGAAGGTAGGGAAAATGGGTCATGATTTATCAATATAATGAGCAGAACCAGAAGATTTGTACCTTTGTATCACCGACAACAGTGCTTGACGAAAATGGCAAGCCGCATAACATGAGAATGTATTTTTCCAATATATAACATACGGTACTCCCTGCCATGAGAAATGAACATCAAGGACTTCTATGTGAACATAAAAAATGAATGTCCGATCGTTTGCCCTTGAACATGATCAATAATAGTTTTACCTTGGAGTGAAGTGCCTCTGCCAATTCATCACCATTGGAGACCTCTAGATAAACCTACAATAACATACAAGACTAGATTATTTCAAATTCCAACGACAATACTTTGAGTAAGCAATGAAACCAGCAAAACTTGTAAAAGGAAGTTATAGAACAACCGAAAATTTGCATGTAAAAAGAATACCCCATATCTCTAGCCCTATCCATCACCTTTTTCGTATATTTCAATGCAAATGAAAGCATATTATAAACCCCTTGCAACAACTATCATTATCATAACATAGTCATGCATCATCACTCACAGTGGTGGGCAATGTGGATCCGAATAGTTCGCATAAAGCTTCTGGAGTGGACAAGTCTACGTCTCCCCACACCAGAGAGCCAATCTCTTCCCTATCCACATTCAGCTCTCCTTGCAAGTAAACAATATTCGGCTCCAATGATTCAAGAACCTGCCGGAACTCATCGATGCTAGGATCATTCAGAAGCTGAACCTGCACTCACACGCATAAAAAAACGTCACAACATTGTAATAAAACTATGTAGAACTGTCGGCATTGTTTATATATACCTCTAGGCGCCCTGAAGAAGCAAGCTCCGGAAACGAGTATTTCGGCTTATAATCGGAAACCGGCTGCTTTTGTTTAGTATCAGAAACTTTACCATCACAAAGAACTGCAAGTAGACTACAATGGTTCCTTAAAGACACTTGAGCACTAAACATCGTGCAAACACGCCAGACCACTAAATCAAATCAAAACCCTAAATCTTACAGTAAAGCTGACAACTTAAAAATCCCACCACTAAAAATCTCTGGATTTCCCCAAATTTCAACCAGAGAGACCTACAAGGGAACTTTCCCTCACTTCAGATTCCCTAAAACAACCCCAAAGCTGCAGAGTTCAGAACTTGAAGAAAACTCACCGACCCAGATTAGATTAGCAAGAGAATCGATAACCCAAATTAGCAAAATCCCCAATAAACAGAAGGAAACAAACTCTCCCAAAGAACAAAAACCGAAAAGTGGAAAAGAAGGAACCCTAAGTTCAATAAGACTCACTCTAAAAAATAAAGAAATCTCGAATAAAAGGACACCTCTTGCTTTAACCGAATAAAAATCCCCCCTTTGACAAATAAAAATAAGAATAAAAACCCAAAATCAAAATCCGATAATAAATAATTGCAACCAAAATTAAAGACTTTGTATTTTTAATAAATACAGTTTGCTTTTTCCCCCATCACTTTCTCACAAAGCCCATTTCATGAACACACGCCCACTGAAGAAAATTCATTTGTTTAATTAAATTCCCATTTGTCTTTTTCATCTCCACGATCATTATCGTCAATCTGATCATCGATTCTTGCTTTTGGGTCTTTGAATAAATGACGTTTTTCTTAAAGGTTTGATCCTTTGTTTAATTAACGGAATTTGAAACCCCAAAACGAAGATTATTAGTAGTGTTGGGTTTTGAGTAATGTTCTTGCCGGTTCATTGAAGAACTGGGACCCAGTTTCCACGAAAAGACTACTGCTTTCTCCTCCAGTCTTTTCTTAATTTCTGCTCTCCGTCCTCGTCTTCCTAGTTCATGTGTTGTGTTTTGCCGGTTAGAAATTGCTTTTGATGATGTTTTTATTATCGTTAACATAATTTCAAACTATTACTCCCTCAATTCTTATTAAATTGCCTCTTATTAATTTTTTTGTCAAAATTTTTAAATTTTGACTTATTATTATTTGAAATTTATTATTGATAAAAATAAATTTATTATTGATAAAAATTTGAAAAATACATTTTAGAAATCTTTAATCAAGTAATTTTGAAATTTATATTTAATAAATTTTAATTTTTTTAAATATTTAAAGTAATAATGGTCAAAGTTTTAAAATTTTGACTTTTAAAAAGTTAATAAGGGACATTTTTAGTGTGACGGAATGAGTATCATATTTTAGTCAGTATGCTAATGTTTAGTTCAAACGATCATTAATTTTTTAATGAAAAATGACGATTTTAAAACATAATAAATAATCAGATGACCATTTTATTACTTTTAATAATTGAATGAATCAACAAAATAATTTCTTATAGTCGGAAGACTATTTTATAATTTTTAATAGTCAATGATTCAACCAAATAGTATTAAAACTATTTATATACCATACCCTTGAATTTTTGTTTGTTTAATATATGATAAATGAATTTTAAAGTTTATTTAATAAATAATAAGAAATGATAACGAGTCGAGTCAAGTTAAATTTTTAATTGATACAACCTAAATTTGAAGAGGCATCCACTCGTTATAATTGTTATATAATTATAAGTAGAGAAGGACATCAATAAGTAAAAACTAATTACACTGACAAATTTAAAAAAAACGATTTCAATTCATTTGATTTTTTTAAATCAAGTAAATTACGATGTAGATTAAGTAAATTTCATTGGTTGTCCATCAAAATTCATAATCAAAATAATTGATTTCATCGATTAATATATTATTTTTAATTATTTAAAATATATTTCTTGGTTTTCTTTTAAAGAATTATTCGGTTGTTAGTTGAGCATACCAATATTAAATTGATTAAAATTAAGAAAAATGATAGGTATAGTAATAGATTGGTTTAATCATTCATTTATTCTTAATTACAATAATAACGACATCAGTCAAGTTAAGGTAGTCTTATAATTAGGGATAATAAGAAAAATTGTACATGATCAATTTTGATTTGATTAAAATGATTCATTGACTATTAAAAGTTACAAAATAGTCACTTGACGATTTATTACGTTCCAAATTTGTCAATTTCCGTTAAAAAATTAACGACAATTTGAACTTAACGTTAACATGCTGACTAAGATATGATAAAATCTAATATTATAATTTCAAACTACTATTATATCTTAGTCAGCATGTTAATTTCCAGCTCAGACGACTGTTAATTTTTTAACATAAAGGGACAAGTTTAGAGCATAATGAATAGTCGGGTGACCATTTTGTAACTTTTAATAGTCGAGAGACTTAACAAAATATTTCTTTATAGTTGAGGGATCAGTTTATAATGTTTAATAGTTGAGGGATTCATTAAAATAGTATCCTATAGTTAGAGGACATTTGTGTACTTTACCCAAATAAATATTGCTACACTTTCCATGATAAAGACAAAAATCTAAAATCTTATTTTGGAAAAAATTATATAATCACACGCAAATGTATTACGGTTCAGCTAAAAGGAAAAAGACACAGCAGAAACCAAGACTTCACAAGGAAAACAAAAACAAACACAAACGCTGGAAGAAGAAACTAAGAAACAAAAGGCAGAAAATAAAAGGTAGAATTCTTTATTTTATGATTTTTTTAATAAAAAGTTGATATTATTTAGTTTTTGAAATTTATTATTTCTTGGAAAAATTATTTAAGTCATACTTTTCATTTAATCTTCGTCACTGCCGTCATATTCTGCAGCGAAATTAAAGTCTGGCGGCGAACGGCTCTTGTTTTCGATTATTCTCTTTCTGCAGTTTCAATGTAATTTCTCTTGTTATGGAACTACTTAACGCGTTAATTGAATTTTATTTATGAGATTTTGGTTGCTGGAAGATCCGATTGAACTTTTCATCCGATCATATATATATATAGTCTCACTGAGAGCTAGCTGATTAGTTGATTTGTTAGAGTTTATAGTGTCAGTTTATTAATTGTTGAATTTCGTTGTTTGTTGGATTGGGCAGTGAAGAGAAGTTACCGCTATAACTGAAAAAGAGGGAAAAGGAAGCAAGAGATTGTGCTAGGGCTCGTGGATATTGGAATTTGAGTGCCAGGATTTCAGGTAATTTAATTTTGTTTATATTTTCATGTGGAGATGTGTTACTAGTGTCACGCTTTTCATGTAATTGCAAATTAGTTGATCAAACCTGTTAATTTGTTTTATCAGTAACGTTGCTTGCAATCAAGTTGTTCCCCCATTTCGGTCAGTTTTACAAGTTTTAAGAGTAGTGGAATTTGAAGTGCTAGTATTTCATATTTTAATTTTGTTAATATTTTATTTTGGAAATGTATAACTAGTGTTTTGCTTTTCATGTAATTGAAATTTAGTTGATCAATCATGCTAAATTTGTTTTCTTTGTAACCTCGTCTTCAATCAAGTTGTCCCCCATTTTCAGTTAGATTTATACACTTTTATAGTATTGGTTATGGTCCAAACTCTTTTATTTGTTTTGCTTTTCATTGGTTTGATATGGTTAGGTATTCGGGATAGTAGACTCCTGTGCTTGTGATTGTGAGGGTGGAAAATGAATGAATTATGATGACTGGGATTGGATGGGATAGTTGTCGATGGGTACCCCGGATAACAAACTATCTGAACTTGTTGAGATAGTTAGGTCGTGGATACTTAGGAGAATTGAGCCGCCGAATGTGTCAAGGGATTTTTGGATGCCCGATCAGAGTTGTAGAGTATGCTACGAGTGTGATTCTCAGTTTACTGTATTTAATCGTAGGCATCATTGTCGAATTTGTGGCCGAGTTTTCTGTGCCGTTTTCTGTGCCAAGTGTACCGCAAACTCGATTCCTGCCCCATCGGATGAGCCAAGGACTGGTCGTGAAGATTGGGAAAGGATTAGAGTATGCAATTATTGCTTCAAGCAGTGGGAGGAGGGGATAGCAGCTGTTGATAACGAGGTCAAGGCGCCTAGTCCTGGTCTCAGTCCGTCACCATCTGTAACAAGCTTGGTCAGTTCCAAGTCCTGCTGCACCTGTAATAGCAGCAGCAGCACTGTCAGTTCTACTCCAAATTCAACTGGACCATATCACCGTGTGAACTTTAATTCAAGTCTCAGTCCTCGTGAATCTTCCCAGATGAATGCACCCACTGAACAAAACAATGAGACATCTGGGATGATTACAAATCCAAGTTCAGCTACAATTGATTCTTCTTCAAACCATTTCGGCTTTTGCGGTAACAGGTACCTCCCCCCTTTCTAACATATTTTTGAGTCGGAAGAAAGTGTTTTACCTATCCAACCTGTAATTTGACATGCCTTCGCATATGTTTTTTCTCCAATGCTTGTTGAGAGGGGTGAGGGTCAAGGGTTTGAGCAATGCATCCTTCATGATTTAGATTACGCTTACATGAACTTGTTTGCTTGTTGTTTTTGTGTTACCTTGTCAATTCATGTTTAAATAACACAACCTGCCTTGACTGGAACACATAATGTTAAGTTCTCGTGCTTTATTTATTTATTAATAAATGATGATTTTGAGCTATGCACTGGTACTTATTACTTAACTGTTGGTTTCAGGAGTGATGAAGAAGATGATGATTATGGTGCATATCATTCGGATTCAGAATCAAGGCCTTATGCTCATGCTGAGGAGTATTCTAGTGCTATCAATATTGACGAAATTGGCTGTGTGTATAAAGTGCATCATGATGGAGAGGATTTTGATTCAAACCCTTTGAAGGGTTCACCATTAGCTGAGAATTTCAGTATACAAAGTGTAGATGGAATCAAGAAAATTGAGGAAGTAAATGAACATGAGAATGCTGATCAGGATGAAGCTCCTGCTTATGATGTGGATTCAGAATCAAGGCCTTATGCTCATGCTGAGGAGTATTCTAGTGCTATCAATATTGACGAAATTGGCTGTGTGTATAAAGTGCATCATGATGGAGAGGATTTTGATTCAAACCCTTTGAAGGGTTCACCATTAGCTGAGAATTTCAGTATACAAAGTGTAGATGGAATCAAGAAAATTGAGGAAGTAAATGAACATGAGAATGCTGATCAGGATGAAGCTCCTGCTTATGATGTGGATGAGACAGATGCCGAGCCTCTCGATTTTGAGAACAATGGGCTATTGTGGCTCCTTCCAGAACCTGAAGATGAAGAGGACGAAAGAGAAGCTACTCTACTTGATGATGATGATGAGGGTGCTACAGGGGAGTGGGGATATTTACTCCCTTCAAATAGCTTTGGCAGTGGGGAGTATCGTAGTAGAATTAAGTCCGGTGAGGAACACAGACAAGCCATTAAAAATGTGGTGGAAGGACATTTTAGGGCTTTGGTATCTCAGCTTTTGCAGGTTGAAAGCGTCCATGTGGATGATGAGGATGGTAGAGAGAGTTGGTTGGATATAATCACATCTTTGTCATGGGAAGCTGCAACACTTCTGAAGCCAGATACAAGCAAGGGAGGAGGAATGGATCCTGGAGGGTATGTCAAAGTTAAATGCATAGCTTCTGGGTGTCGCCATGAAAGGTAATATAACTGAACTCAATTTGAATATTTGTTAATTGTTGTGCTAGAAGAATGCAACTTCACCTGTTCGAGTAACTTTAGAACAGTTAATACATAATTCTCTGCATGTGGCAGTTGGCTGATCAATCATACAAATTACTTTTCTTGTTAGTAATTGATCCTATTATTGGTTTCAAGACTTTTTGATTGTTATGTGGTTATTCTTTCTATCTACCATTTAATTATGTAGATGTGATTCTGATTTTTTATTATCAAATAACATTTAGTGCTGTGGTTAAAGGAGTTGTTTGTAAGAAAAATGTGGCTCATCGTCGAATGACATCAAAAATAGATAGACCTCGTTTTCTTATCCTTGAAGGAGCTTTGGAATATCAGCGTATTTCTAACCGCTTGTCAAGTTTTGATACGTTGTTACAGCAGGTTTGTAATTTTAGCTTTTCCCTTCGGTTTTGGTTTGTTACTTAACCTTAGGTATCTGATACTGGTAATATGAAGCTGTTAAAGGTACTGCATATATATTACAAGCTTACCCTCCTTTTCAGGAAATGGACCATTTGAAGATGGCAGTTGCTAAAATTGATGCACATCAACCTAATGTTCTTTTGGTGGAAAAATCTGTGTCACGGTATGCACAAGAGTACCTTCTTTCCAAAGATATATCACTTGTTCTCAATATTAAGAGGCCACTCTTAGAGCGTATAGCCCGCTGCACTGGTGCTCAAATAGTTCCATCCATTGATCATCTGACATCACCGAAACTCGGGTATTGCGATGTATTCCGTGTGGAGAAATGTCTTGAGGAACATGGGAGTGCTGGTCATGGTGGGAAGACAGCGACAAAGACTCTAATGTTTTTTGAGGATTGCCCTAAGCCTCTAGGTTATACTGTAAGTCCTTTCATTATACATGGCACAAATATCATGCCTTAGTGCTGAGATACAAAAATCTGTTTGTGTTTTGGAAAATTTCCTCTAGAAGTTGTGATCTTAGTAAGATTGTCGTATAAACCTTTGCATGAAAAGTAGGTTTGTTGTTTATATATTTTACATAAGATATCTTTTATTCATGTTTTTCTCGGTAATTGATGATGCATTAATGACACCATATTCTCTGCACTATGCACCTGTTAATTGAAACTAAAAGAAGTCTAAAATAACTTTTCGCTAAACTTAATTAAAGGCACCAGGTTCTATAAAAATAGTGAGCAATACATTCATTTACCATTTTTGACCTAAGTCCAGTAGTTTAACCCTGCCTTTTAAGTTCATATGGATATATGCAAATCTTTTTTTTTATAGGAATAGGAGGTCTCATTAAAAACCTCCCTCATAGTTGACTCTTGAAAAGTGGCAACTAATTGAGGGAGGAAAAGAGTACCTCAATTTATTAATAGACCAGAATTACATAAGATACACAATACATTCTAGCCCTGAATAACATAAGATATACATAACACTCTAACCCTCGATAATAAAACAGGACATTAATACAAATAGCGTTGGGAAACAAAGACCCCTTAGCCTAACCCATCCTCAGCTAGGTCATCAGACTCAACAGAAAGCCTGCAACACTCAACCGATCCCCTGCTTAGCTAACCTGTCGGCCTCTATATTGCAACTCCTAGGAAGCCATCTAAGAACGACGCCCTTAGCAGTAACAAGAACTCCAATTTCCTCCACCAAAACACTGAAAAAAGTAGGAGCAGGTTGTAGCTTTAAAATCCATTCCACTGCACATTTGGTATCACTTTCCAAAATAAGTCTACCCTTGTTAGCCCAATTGGAAGAAAAGAAAAAAACCAATCCATTCTTAATAGCTTTCAGTTCAGTCACTATAGGGAGACCCGACCCTACTGCAGAAGAAAAATTAGCTAAAGAGCAACTAAAGGAGTCTCTCAAAACACCACCAATACCACCCTGCATCCCATCTCCTGTCACTGCCCCATCAACATTAAGTTTGAACATATCCGATGGTGGAGGAGTCCAGCCAATAACCTTCTTAGTAATTGTACTATGGAGGAGTTTATCAGCCCGCGTAGGATCCCCTATTAGAAGGTCGGTCTGAATCCGAACCCCAGGGTATTTAGCTAAGAACCATTTTGCCAATCTAAATTTAGTGATAAAGAACAGAACATTAGAGTCACACTTGCCGTTTTCAAAAACAACCAAATTTCTTGCCTTCCAAATAGACCAGAAGATGACAGCCGGAATAAACCTCCAAATAAGTAAATTATGACATAGGTTCGACCACGAGCACAGAATAGCAGAAGGGTCTTGAGGCAACACCGAAGAGATATTCCATAACCTTAGGAATTTGCTCCACAAATCCGAGGCAACAGTGCACGATAGGAATAGGTGTGCAATAGACTCATCCTGAGAAAGACATAATGGACACAAAACATCCGAAATCTGAATCCCTCTTTTCTTCAATTCCACTTTAACTGCTAATTTTTTATGACAGATCTGCCATATAAAAGTTTGTACTCTAGGAAGTGCCAATCCATCCCAAACCCACTTCTTCCACTCATAACTCTCTTCCGACCTACCTTGTAACGACTGTCTACAGGATTTGACCGAAAACATGCCATCCCCCTTTCCTGACCATCCCATGAAGTCATCCACAGATCGTTCCAGCGAAATTTTGTCGATCAATGACATTAAAGTGATCCACTGGTCTAATTCCCAATCACACAAATTTCTTCTAAGTTGAATGTTCCAAACCCAGACATCATCTTCATACTCCCCAAACTCAGGAACCATCCCCCATTTATTCGTCGACAAAGCAAATATTCTGGGGAAATGGTTTTTTAAAGGAAGATTAGTAATCCAAACATCACTCCAAAAAGTAATCGACCGACCATTTCCCAAATTCATCTTTGAATTCTGTCTCAAACAATCACCAATCTGATCATTCTTAGCATAGTTACTGAGGATACCTCTCCATATCCAAGAGTCTAAAGGTGAAGCCGCATTTGAAATTGAAAGAGACATACTGCTAACGTTGTTTTTGCAACAAATCATATTCTTCCACACACTATATTTTTCAGTAGCAAATTTCCAAACCCATTTCCCAAGTAGGACCCTATTAATCAACCTTAAGTCAAGAATTCCCAGACCACCCTCTTCGATTGGTTTACTAACCGATTTCCAATTCACCCGATTTCCAATTCACCCAGTGAATTCGTTTTTTATCAAGATCTTCACCCCAAAGGAAGTTAGCCATCAACGAGTTCAACTTCTGAGTCACTTTTAGAGGGATCTTGAAAATAGATAGAAAAAAGATTGGCAAGGACGATAATATGGATTTAACCAAAACAAGTTTGCCCGCCAGCGACAGCGATTTAGCTTTCCACCCAGCTAATCTCTTATTAAAATTCTGGACAACCGGTTCCCACATACCCTCTGAATTTTTCCTAGTTCCAATTGGTAAACCAAGATAAGACATTGGAAAAGACCCCACTCCACAGCTCGCTTTCATAGCCCAATCTTTAACTCTGTCAGCTTCCATATTAACCCCAAATAATGAACACTTAGACAAGTTTAATTGTAACCCAGACATAGCACCGAAAACCCTCAATACTCTCCTAATATTTAGAATTTGCATTGGAGTATCTCTGCAAAAAAGGATTAAATCATCTGCAAACTGTAGGTGTGACAACTGAAAGGAATTACCAATCCTACCAATACTGAACCCTTGAAACATACCTATATTAACAGCCTTAATCAACATAAGATTTAATAATTCCCCCACTAAATTGAACAGGAGAGGGGATAGACTGTACCCTTGTCTCAGCCCTTTGCTAATATTGAATTCCTAAGTAGGTGAACCATTAACAAACACCGAAATAGAGGCAGAAGAAACACAGGTGTTTCATTCCATCCATGTTGTATACACAGTTGTAGCCTAAGTAGTACTATGGAGCTTGAGTAGTACTATGGAGCTCTACAATCATATTACTGTAAGATTCAATCTTCCAGTTAACTCCCATGCTAGCTTTAGACTTGGCAACTGACATGCCTTTTTGTAGAATACTTAGCCAAATCTATCTGAAGTAACCACAATATGTGGAAAGCTGATGTAGCTATCTTCATCTGACCATAACTTCTTTTCTCCACCATGATGCATTATATATTCTCGCCAAACCTACCTAGAGTTACTGCAATCTGTGAAAGAGCTGATGTAGTTAGCTTCATCTGACCATAACCTACTTTCTTCCTCCTATCATGCATTATTTTTTCTATGATCTCTCTTTTGCAGTCCACGCTTTAAAGCAAGCATCAATGTTTTCTGGGGGATAACTTGCTTTTCATTTAAAAATCTTTTACCACGAAAGAACTTTGCTCTGCATTTTAACCACCCTCAGGCTCTGTACTATCAGTGATAAATTAACTTCTCATATTATGAAAAAGGGAAGCTCGGACCATCTGATACTGTTTTCATGGTCCTATAGCTTGCAGGTGGAAGAACCCATCTGCCATTTATCCATCATTCTGCCACCTTAACATACCTTTCCGGTGCTCCTTGTAATGCACAATTCCTGGATTAAATTTATTGCTGTTTGTAACCAGATTAGTTTGCAGCTGTTGGGATGCTTAGATACATATAGTGACCATGGTGGTCATTTATGCCCAGAAAGTACATTTCTTGTTTTTTGTAATATATTTTCCTAGATAAAGATGTTTGGTTCTAAGATTGGTCCAATGCTTACTTCGTTTCAGATTATGCTCAATGGTGCCAGCGGAGATGAATTGAAAAAGGTAAAACATGTTGTCCAATATGGAGTTTTCGCAGCTTATCACTTGGCTCTTGAGACATCATTCCTAGCTGATGAAGGTGCTGCACTTCCAGAGCTCCCTTTAAAGTCTCCTATAAATGTTGCCTTACCCAATAAACCATCAAGTATTGACAGGTCTATTTCCATCATACCTGGTTTTACCATCCCATCCTCTGGGAAGCCCATGGCTTCTCAACCTAGAAATGAATTGCAGAAATCCAACGAAGTTGTTAACTCAGATAGCCCATCATCTGCCAACTTTGAGCCCCCTTGCAAACCTACAGGGGCTAGTTCATTGTGCTTGTCAAAAGGTCCTCATTCTCAGACTACGCTCAAGGAATCTGCCCCAAACAATGTTGAAGCTATTGCTTCCTTGAACTCACTGTCTGCTTTGAGGGAGAATATCTATTCTTGTAACAATGTTTCTTCCCTAAATCATGCATGTAGACAGGTTGATGGAGTGAATCCTAAAGAATCTCTTCGAACCGAAACAGCTAGCAATGGAGAAGCTGTTATGGGTGACCAGTTTATTTCTCTTTGTCAAAGATTATCAGAAGCATCAGAGCAAGGCAGTGGACCTGGTGGTAGTAGTCAGACTGATGGCAACATAATGGCTGCAAATCATCTAGGTGGCCCAGAGTTGGCATGCTCGAAACAAGAGACTGGCAACAACAATGAAGAGGTGGGGTCCTCTAAGGAAGAGTTTCCTCTATCACCTTCAGACCACCAGAGCATTTTGGTGTCTTTATCAACACGTTGTGTGTGGAAGGGCTCTATGTGTGAACGATCCCTTCTCTTTCGAATCAAATACTATGGGAGCTTTGATAAGCCTTTGGGGCGGTTTTTAAGAGATCATCTGTTTGATCAGGTAATTGTTATTGTTGTTATTTCATGCCCAAAACTTATCCCCCTCTGTTTCTCATTGCTACAACATAAGATTCTTCTTATCAGAGCTTCCATTGTCGTTCATGTGAGATGCCATCTGAGGCACATGTTCACTGCTATACTCATAGACAAGGTAGCCTGACGATATCTGTTAAGAAACTATCAGAGCTTCCTTTACCTGGAGAGCGGGAAGGAAAGATTTGGATGTGGCATAGGTGCTTGAGATGCCCTCGGATCAGTGGGTTTCCTCCAGCCACTCGAAGAGTTGTAATGTCTGATGCTGCTTGGGGTTTATCCTTTGGGAAATTTTTGGAGCTGAGCTTTTCTAGCCATGCAGCTGCTAGCAGAGTTGCAAGCTGCGGTCATTCCCTTCACAGAGATTGTCTTCGATTTTACGGGTAAGTTTTTATGTAAGAAATAAGAAGTACTACATATATCAAATAATAAATATTACTGTTCTGAATGGAGTGAGCACTACAGAGATGGCACTTATTGAAGAGTGGTCTTTTTCATCTCTTTAGTCTGTTTATATGATTAATCTACAAGCAATCAATTTGTTTTCTCTGTGAACCATTGACTGAATGTTGTTCATAAGTGTTTTCTTTTTTGAGTTAACTATGTATTTCTGAAGCACATGGTCAAAAGACATGAGTTAGCTATGTTTTTTTAGTTAACCATGTATTTCTGAAGCACATGGTCAAAAGACATGAGCTACACTTTAACCAAAGAGAAGGTGGCTGATTTATTTGATCCTCTTGCCGTTTACGTTTACATACCGAGTGTAAAAGTCCCTAGGCCTAGTGCAACACAAATCACCCAACTCCAGATGTATGTTCATATGTACATACACAAGTGCCTATTAGTGGTGTATCTTACTTTTGCGATAAGGAAAATGTGTCGACTTATTTCCAAAAATAAAATATACATGTCACATAATTCCAGCCGTGTATGTTATTTTCTCAAAAAGACTTAATTCCTAAAGAATCAATATATACTCTTTGAATTATGTGATTGTGCTCTGTTTGGAAGTTTGGAATATAGATGTTTGGCATAAGTTGGTTTCTGAAATTTGTCACTCATCAGTGGACTCAGCTAGGTAGCCTGGCTACATTTATGTGCCTGTATTGGTTCTTGAGTCTCCTTGTTGCTATATTGCTATTTGTACACAGTGTAGTTTATTGGTCTAAAAGATTGATCAGGAAGACAAGATCATTATGTAGTTGAGCACCGATAAGGGTATATACATCTATACACATATGTGTGAGGTTTCTATGTTTGGAAACAACCTGAACTTGGAGTGATTGTTTGCTTAAAATAAAGAGCTTGATTGCCAAAGTCCTAAGGCAAACTCCCGAAACCTGCTAGTCCCTTCTGGATAAGGAGATTATTTGGCCATGAAGGGGATGGACAAGGTAGTTTGATTGGTGGTATGGACAGTAAATTAAAAAAAAAGGTGTTTAGATATGATCAAATGAAGCATATTGGTTGTTTACTGATATCCTCTGATCATATAGTCTTAACATGTGCAGTTTCGGGAGAATGGTTGCTTGTTTTCGATATGCCTCCATTGATGTTCATTCTGTTTATCTTCCACCTTCCAAACTGGAATTTAATTATGATAATCAGGAGTGGATACGATGTGAAGCAAATGAGGTTTGAATATCATAAATCCCTGTTCTAGTTCATAAATCTATTCTTGAATCAAGGAACGCCTACAACATCATTAATGTTATTTTTCAGGTGAGTAACAGGGCAAAATTCCTATTTACTGAAATGCACAATGCTCTTCGAAAGGTCTCAGTGAACCTATCGGGCCCAGGGTCCCAAGATGGTGGCATAAAGACACCTGAAAGAAGCACCTGTATTAAGGAATTGGAAGCAATGCTGCATAAGGATAGAGAAGAATTTCAGGTAGTTGCTTTTAAATGCACCATCTGTACCCTCTCCCCTTCCCTTATGAGCAACAATGGCTGTCAGATTTTACTAATTTATTCATACACCAACCTGTTCAGAAGTTTAACCCCATGTTATTTATTTATTTTTATGCATAAAAACAGCATGATATTAGCCTGGTTTTTAATCTGTTTACCGTTCCCTTAGGAATCTTTACGGGAAGCGCTTTGTAAGGATGCGAAAGCTGGCCAACCTTTTATTGACATTCTTCTGATTAATAAGTTGCGGAGGCAAATACTCTTTTTGTCTTATGTTTGGGACCAACGGCTGATACATGCATATAGTTCAATTAGCACTAATATCCAGGAAGTTACGAGCAGTTCCATCCCTAAGCTTGGGTTGAAGCCTGAAAGTTCTGTCGAGAAGCTTCTTGAGATTAATGTCAGTCCCAAGCCAAGTAAAGCCTTAAGTAGTTTGAACTCTGCTGCAGTTGAGACCAGGCCTAACATAAGAATAAATCAAAGAGGCAATACTGGTCAATTTGACAAATCAGATGGAGATCACCCAGAAAAGGGCATGGACAGGGTCTTTAATAACAGGAAGGAGGCTGAACCTTCTCTTTCTTGTACAAATACCAGTAACAAATCTGATTCTCTTGAATCTGGAACAGCTGTGCAAAGGGCTCAGTCAGAAGGGGAATTGACAAATAGGGAAAATTTATCTGAGACCCTTGAGGCAGCTTGGAGTGGGGAAAGTCACCCTGCTACCATAATCTCTAAGGAGAATGGTTACTCTGTTCCTGGCTCAGTGTTGGTGGATGTGTCAGCTGCAGTAAGTTCGGATCTGGGAATTCTTTCTAGTGATCATGGTGAAGTGGAAGTGACACGATCTCCTCAGCCTGCTTTGCCTACTAAGAAACTTGAAAGCTTGGAGAAGTCAATGAGCTGGGAAAGCATGCCATTTCCAAATTTCTACAGCTCATATAACAAGAATTCTTCACTCAATCCTCGAAAGCTCAGTATCAATGAGCGCAGTCCAGTCTATGTATCTTCATTTATGGAGTTGGAAAGACAAAGTGGTGCGAGGCTGTTGCTTCCTCTTGGTGTTAATGACACAGTAGTAGCTGTTTATGATGATGAGCCCACTAGTATTATAGCATATGCACTTGTCTCATCAGATTATCATTCACTGATTTCCGAGTCGGAGAGACCAAAAGATGTTGCAGATTCTGCAATTTCATCGTCACTTTTTGATTCAGTAAACCTACTCTCACTTAATTCTTTTAGTGACGTATCATCTGATACTTGCAGAAGTTTTGGATCTGGTGATGATAGTATCCTGTCTTTGTCTGGGTCAGGCTCCCTGGTTTCTGACCCTCTCTTGTATATAAAAGATTCGCATGCTAGAGTTTCTTTTACAGATGATGGTCCCCTTGGGAAGGTGAAGTATTCCGTAACTTGTTATTATGCGAAGCGGTTTGAGAGCTTGAGGAGGACATGCTGCCCTTCTGAGATGGATTTTGTACGGTCTCTCAGTCGTTGTAAGAAGTGGGGTGCCCAGGGTGGCAAGAGCAATGTCTTTTTTGCAAAAACGTTAGACGATCGATTTATCATCAAACAAGTTACAAAGACAGAACTAGAATCATTTTTCCAGTTTGGACCAGCTTATTTTAAATATTTGTCTGAATCAATTAATACAAGAAGCCCAACTTGCCTGGCAAAGATATTGGGCATATATCAGGTATTATAAGTATTACTGATGTAATTATTTATATAACTTGAAAGTTGATATGCTTATGTTTTAAAGCCGGAAATGAGCAGCTTACATGCATATCATGCAGAGAAGATGTTTTCTGTTCTTCATTATTTTTTAGTTTTCACTGAATCGGAGCTCCACACCTAAATTAGGCTTTTCTTATTTTTCTGATGCATTTACCATGATTTTTAGTTCAATATTCTTATGGTGTCATTGTTTTGAAGGTTTCATCAGAGCATCTTAAAGGAGGGAAGGAGTCGAAAATGGACGTCTTGGTGATGGAAAATATTCTCTTCAGGCGTAACATTACAAGGCTTTATGACCTCAAAGGATCTTCTCGATCTAGGTATAATCCTGATACAAGTGGCAGCAACAAAGTTCTCCTGGACCAGAACTTGATTGAAGCAATGCCGACTTCTCCGATTTTTGTTGGAAGCAAGGCAAAACGGTTGTTGGAGAGGGCAGTCTGGAACGACACTAACTTTCTTGCTGTAAGTTGCAATTTGACTTTTTCCTTTTGTTTCTACAATGTTGGTTCTTCTTATAAACTCCCGGGAAGGAAAACCTTATTTCTGGTGGTGTAGCATGTATTTTCGTAATTATCTGAGAAAATAGTGGGTAACGGAGTCCAGTGTCGACTGTCTGAAAACGGCGTCACTTGTGTTGTTTTATTTACAATTGAATGATGATGAGCTCTTCACCTTTTTGCTATTTCCGAGACACACTTTCTCATCCTTTGACCTAGCCGGGAAATGAAATGAAAGTATACGAAACATAGGATGTTATATGTTACGGGTTCAATAATGTTCATTCTGTTCAAGTAGTTGGAGTTGAATGCTTATTTTTCCTAACGGTTTACATATACGTTTCTCAACAGTTAATCGACGTAATGGACTACTCGTTACTAGTTGGCATGGACGAGGAAAAAGACGAGCTTATTCTTGGAATAATCGATTTCATGAGGCAATACACATGGGACAAGCACCTTGAAACATGGGTGAAGACCTCAGGCATCCTCGGGGGACCTAGAAACACGTCGCCTACAGTGATATCGCCCCAACAATACAAGAAACGGTTCAGGAAAGCCATGACTGCTTATTTTCTCATGGTGCCGGATCAGTGGTCTCCTCTGACGATTGTTCCGAGCGGGTTGCAGACCAACCTTTGCGAAGAGAATAATAACACTACACAAAGTGGTAATATTGTTGAATGATGATGTTGAAAACCCTTTTGCCTGTATAAGTCAAAGACCCAATCTGTAAGTTAAATACACCTCATCTCTTTTATCCTTTTGGTTCGGCCTTTTCTAAGGATATTTCTTTTTTGGCCTTTTTAATTGGTTTTTTTTCCAATCCAATTGTAATTTATAAATGGCTGTCACTATGATTTATCATCATTAATTTCTTTTTTATATATAATTCAGGGTTTTTTTAATTTTACAAAATATTTTTTCGAGAATGTATTTATATCAAATTAAATTATGTTTTATATTATATTTATGTTAAATGCCAATATTTATTGTGTAGATGCTCGTTTTTATCCGGGGCTGAGTCGAAGCAGACTCAAAGCAATCACAACCTAACCCGACCTTGAACCAGTTGCGGGCCCAATTCAAGCCCAATGGACGACAGTTGATTGCAGAGGAAAATAGAGAGGTTAATGTTGGTTTTTAGCAGTTTTTTTATATATACGGAAGGGGAACACAAAAAGGTGGGGGGGGGACATAATAGATTACACAGGAGCATTTTGAAGGAGAGGAGACAAAAAAAAAGAGGGAGTCCTTTAGATTTGTTTTTTTTATAGAGCAAAGCAAATATGAAAACGGTGTAAATAATATTCCATCGCCGGTGTTCAAAGAGCAAGCAATATAACGGAGATTTACCCTACCTTTTTTTCAAAAGCGATACAAAACAGATTCAAAATTTAATTCCTGTAAGATTTTCTTTTTATGACTATTTACAGTTACATTTTTTTATATTTGTTTTAATAGCTTTTAAAATAAGTACGAAACTCAAAATAGAAGTGAGAGCGGTTGGGTTTACCTTCGGGTATGTGTGTAGTCGAAGTAAGTGAGTGATAGTGATTAAGGTCCTTTCTTAGAGATTACAATGTCGTCGGAGTAGGGGTTTGATTGCGTATGAGGCTCGGTTTTGAGTTTAAATCTAAGTAGAGATGGAAGGGTGGTGTAAGGTCTCGGTTAAAGTCTCCTCTACTTGGTTTTAAAGTGTAGGCGCATAGGAGAAAGTTCTGGGCGTTGAATGGTGACCAGGTTTGTATGGGTTGAAAGGCCGAGAGTCTAAAGCGGTGTTAGAGTTTCAAAGGTAGGTTTTTGTGTAACATCCTTCATGTCGGGTGAGTGATTAATTTGCAAAGTTTCAACATTTGGTGATTAAAGTAGAATAATTATATAGTTTAAAAGTATGGTTAGTAAATATGAGATGGAGGTAGGGACCAAATGGTCATTTGTAAGGAAATTTTAATTAAAATAAAATTTTATGGGGATATATGAGAACCACGTGGAGTATTAGGTTCCAGAATACTCTCATTCCTTCTTTCTTATTTCTTCTCTTCCTTCTCCAAACGTGGGCTTGCAATTAAAGGTAAGAAACTGAACATGGTAGTTTCTTTGATTTTTAAGATTGGAAATGAAAGCTTGGATGTTATATAAACTAAAGGAAAGCTTATATGACATTAAAACAACAAGATAAGTGATTTAGAGAATGATTTGGAAAATGAGTTTTTAGATGAAATTTTGATATGGATGAGTTTTTGATGTTTAAATCAGATTTTTGACTTGTCAAGAAGCTAACTAAGAAGTATGAGGTGTTAGAATTCAAATTAGAACATATTGGAATTTGGGTTGGATTCTTAAATTCTACATGGAGAATTAGATTTCTAGGTTTTAGAGGTATTTAATGGATAATAATTAGTTTAAGTAAGTGTATGAGAGCTAAGAGTATTAAAGGGATTGAAATATGTATGTTTGAGTTGAAATGAGATGATTTTCGGGCTAAAAATAGGATTTCTGGGTTAGGGGAATCGGTACCCATTCAAGGGGAACCGATACCCCCTCAACGAAATGAATTTCCAGAATGCTAGAGGGGAATCGGTACCCCCAGGGGGGAACCGATACCCCCTCATCGTATATGAAATTCCAGATTGCTTGAGGGGAATCGATACCCCAGGGGGGGAACCGATTCCCCCATGAGAAAAAGAAGAAGAAAGAAAAGAAAGCAAGACTAAGCTATAAATTCTTTAAATTAGTAAGCTATTAAAGCTTAATTTCAAGACATAGACATCTGATGATCATCTTGAAAATTTTGTTTATGTAGATACCGAGCCTACTCGAGTTCGGGAACAATCTACAAGTAGGATCGATCGAGGAAAAGGCAAAGAAGTATAGGTGAGTGCATATGCATAGCATGAATATAGTATTATATTCAGTTCTAGACTTGTGATAAGTCTAGATTCCATATTTTGACATATGATCACATTCCATATTATGATACATGACATGAATTTATATTATATGTATTGCATGGCATGAATATGCAGAAAAAGTTATATGAGCTATGTGATAAAGGTATGTAAATGACATGTCTATGTGATAAAGGTATGGAAATAATATGACTACGCGATATGAACTACGGGAAATGTATAAGCCCATGTTATATAGATGAGAACTATAGGTATAGTTGGCATGCCAAGGGTAGAGGGTATACTCGGTTCTTTAGGACATATGTATATCCTTTGGAACCTGTGTGAAGTCTTGAAAGACACATACTTGATCCATAGTATATGTATATGATTCTTAAGGAATTCTATGTGGTCCTTATGGACATCATTCTACGGGCACTTCGGTGCAATTCTACGGGCACTTTGGTGCAATTCTACGGGCACTTCGGTGCATTTATACGAGCTGTGGTGACAGCATAGTGCACAACCTCACATTACTCAAATACCTTAGGTTCTCAATATGCTATCATGGGCCAATAAACTTATTAATACAGAATAATGAATGTTACAGTCATACGCTTACAGGTATGGATATTGATGAAGTATATTATATTGATTAAGTACATGTTTGCATCTCATCTCATATGATCCTGACATTTTCATTACATTACATTGCCTTATTATTATTGCCTCACTAAGTCGATGACTTAGCGTGTGAGTGTTTCACACGTAGGATCCGAGGAATTAGACGAGACAGGTGAAACAGCTTGACAGTATTACTCCTGCAACCATCAGATCAGAAGCAACTTAATCAGTAGGTCATTTTGTTATGTAAATGGCAGTTGGCATGTAATTAAAGGGTTAAGTTGTGTATGCTCTGAATATTTTTGTAAACTTATATTACAGTATGTATATTATTGTATTTTCTTAATATAAGTTCAAATATTTTACTATTATTTATTAAGAGTTATGTTTTAAAGTCGATGTAGTATCTCTGACTCATATCCGGGTCGGGTATGGGTTGGGGGTGTTACATTTAATGGTATCAGAGCCATGGTTTAGCCGATTCTAGGCATAAACCAGAGTCTATGGAGTCTTTAAATGGAATACATGCCAACAAATAGTGAGAACTTCTGATCTGGTATAGTATGAGTATGCTGTTTTGCTAATAGGATAATGTGTTTATTCTTATTAGATGTCCGGACATAATAGCTCCCGAAGTGAAGCGGGAGAAGATAGGCATGCTGAAAGCAGTAATTCACCTGCCCTGGCCAGGCAAGGTGAAGAACAGGCATCTCAAGGAGTGCCTGTGCAAGATCAAGATACGTTCTTCAGAACGTTAGACGCTATTCTGACGCGTCTTCAACCTCCTGCTCCACTAACTCCAAGAATTAATGTAGCAAAAGAGTTGAGAAGTTTAGGAGCTCCCGAATTTAAGGGAGAAGCTGAGGAAGGTCCGGTGTCAGCGGATCTTTGGTTGAATGATTTGAAAATCATGCTAGATGGTCTCCACTGTTCCGAAGTGGAGAAATTAGATGGAGCTGTATCTTTATTGAGGGGTCAGGCGATGATATGGTGGACGAATGTCACCATGAGAATGTCAACCGACCAGTTGACTTGGTCTTTGTTTTAAAAAGAATTTAAGAACAAGTATATTGGAGATCAGTTTATCCGCCAAATGAAGCAGGAATTTATGAGTTTGAAGCAGATGAGCCGCTCTGTATATGAGTACGAATGTGAATTTAATAAGATGAGCAGGTTTGCAGCTGAGCTTGTGCCTACTGAGAAAGATGCTTGTGAATGGTTCGTGGAGGGCTTGCGCCCTAGACTTAAAGAAATGTTGATAGTATTAAACCTGTCCTCGTTCCAGGAGGTGATCAATCGTGCAAAAGCTCTTGAAAGGGCTCAGAATGAAAGATTTGGGGACTCAAGAGTTCAGACATCAAAGAGGATGACTACTTCTTCTGGCTCAGCACCAACAAAAAGGGGAAGAGACTCGGGATTTCGATCACAAACTAGATCAGAATCAGTTGCATCGTTTGCTAGGGGAGCAAGTCAGGCAAGAACTAGACAGACGCAGTCAGTGGAATCCGGTGCTGGGAGATCTACTCCGGGTCAAAGGAAACAGTGTGAGCACTGCGGGAAAAACCATTATGGGGATTATCGTATGGCTGCTGGGACTTGTTTTCGATGCGGAGAGGCCGGACATTTTGTCCGGGATTGTCCCTTGATTGTTGGTGAGCCGGCACCATCTGGAAGAGCTGGTTCTTTCTCACAAAGAGGACGAGGAAGAGGCAGAGGAAGGAACCCGTCTGAATTCTCTGCTCAACCTGAAGTTCGATCCACTGCTCGAGTGTACAACCTAAAGACAAATGAAGACCGTGATGACCCTGATATTATAGCAGGTACTTTTCAGTTGTATGATAAATTAGTATTGGTATTGATTGATCCGGGTTCTAATTATTCTTATATTACAAGTAAGTTAGTAAAGGAGTTGGGGATTCCCTTAGAAGCTACAAGTAATGAGATTATAGTAACAACTCCGTTAGGCCATAGTGCCCGGGTGAATAAAGTCTGTAAGGGGTGTCCCATAAAGGTTCAGGGAATTGAATTCCCTGCTAATCTGATGGAATTACCCTTTGACGAGTTTGAAGTGATTCTGGGAATGGATTGGTTGTTCCGGTATTATGGAGATGTTAGTTGCAGATTGAAAAAGGTAACTCTGAAAAGTCCAGACGGAATAGAGATAAGTGTGAGCAGTGAAAAGTTTAATCCTTTAGCAAATGTAATATCAGTGATGTCTGCCAAGAAATTATTGCTACAAGGATGTCAGGGTTTCCTTGCAAATGTGATTGATTCAAGAGCTCAAGAGAAAAGGTTAGAGGAAATTCCAATAGTTCGAGAGTTCCCTGATGTTTTTCCTGCTGAATTGCCAGGATTACCTCCGGATAGAGAGGTAGAATTCCAAATTGAAATAATGCCGGGAACAGCTCCGATTGCAATGGCACCTTATCGAATGGCTCCGAAAGAATTGTAAGAATTAAAGAATCAATTACAAGAGTTGCTAGAGAAGGGATTTATCCGACCAAGTGTATCGCCTTGGGGAGCTCCGGTGTTATTTGTTAAAAAGAAGGATGGATCAATGCGCCTTTGCATTGACTATCGACAGCTCAATAAGGTGACCATCAAGAACAAGTATCCTCTTCCGCGCATTGATGATTTGTTTGATCAACTAAAAGGAGCTTCGGTATTTTCGAAGATCGATCTACGTTCGGGTTATCATCAATTGAAGATC